CTCATCCCCCCCTCCCCCCCCCCCCCCGCCTTTCCTTTCATAACTTCTCGTTCAGGGGGTAAATAACGTGCCGGTGGTTGACAATTAGAAGCGATGGGAACGAGGTTCATTATGCGAGAAGAGAGAAGACCCTCTGATCCGTCGAGCGTATCCATAAAACGTGGAAATATTTTCGATCTGGCTGCGCCGATTCTCTCCCGGTATCAATCGGGGGCTCGACTCGAATTTTTGTCCGCTCATGGTATCTTATTGCGAGTTATTTCATTTAAAAAAATGCCAAGACATTTTTAACAACGATCGCGTATAAAGACGTAAGCCGATTTTCGCTGCTCTATTTTAATTAACTGCATAACAATAGAACCTGTTGGTCGATGGTAAACATCTTAGACATGTAGGGATGTTGACAGCTCAGTAGAAGCCGGTAACATTACATTAAATCTCCATAAATACGGAAACTCCACGCGAGCTATGTAATACGATATACTGGAGCAGGTAGCAAATATGCGACGCACAAATTAAATCTTATTTAAACATTAATCTGATTAATACAAAAGCTAAAGCATATTTATATTTTGCGGCTGTTTAAAAAGATAGAGAAAGAATCGTAATAAATATTTATTAGTCGAAAAGTATGAAAGATCAGTATCAGAAGAGTATGAATAGAAATAATTCGAAAGCGCTGTAAAAGAAAAAAAAAATTCGGCTAGTCCAACTATGCCATTGTGCTGTCAAAGAGTTAGCGAGACGAAAAAGCCAAAGAAACGCGCAAAATCATCCACGCTCGGTTTTGCCGCGGAAACTTAGCAATTACGCGCTAAAGAGAAATGATAGGAAGTCTTCTTCGGGTTGTCTGAGGGTAGCTGTGGAGCGAAGAGAGATTTAACGACGTACACGCAGAAGGGCATACGGTGGTGCTTCAACATAGTGTGGTATGGAGTGTGGTAATAAGTCGCCCCGAGACGACGATGTACACAAGGGAGAGTTCTGGTAGTCAGTTACTTCACTTTTTGACTTCCCAGAGCAGAGAGATGCAAAGAGAGATAGAGAGATAGAGAGAAAGAGAGAAGCATCAAGCAATGACCAATATTATGATAATTCGAGCCTCTCGCGTTTTATCCTTTCGCGCCCTCCTTTGCTTCCTCTATCTACCCTTCTCGTCACTTTTATATGGAGGGCGAGAAACCGGGTGAGTTCTCCACTCACTTCTCCCTTCTCCTACGGAAGGGACCGGAAGCAGCAACGGCGGCAGCCATGTTTCGGAGGCGCGGGCGTGGCCTTCCGGTTGCCCGGGGCAACCGGTGTTATCCGGATATCGACCTGGGAGCGACGAGAAGGGTGGCTAGGCTTCTGTCCGGGAGGGAAAATGTTATCACTGCTTTGTGGTGGCTAAGATAGCAACCCGCCCTACCCCGCCGCTCCTGCGAGGCCTCTCTCCTTCTCCTCCTCATCTTCTCCTCTCCCTCGTCGTCCTGCCCTCGTTGTCCTCACCCTCTCTCCGCCCGCCCAGTCTTCTCGTCTCTCCTACGCGCGATCCTCCACGTCGGACGTCCGTGCGAGTTGGCAGTCGCAGGATCTATCCCGTGAGAGAGATGGTATATTCTTGGAATGTACGGATACCACGGATGACCCCGATGTCGTACCTGCATGTGTACATGCGTGCACGCGCTCGCTCATGAATCGTATTAGGTTTTTGCGCCTTACGAGTTTCCGCGCGAATATTTCATGGGAAGAATTTCAGAAAGATTAAGAGAGATTGATGGTTTCCCAGATAACATTTTCCGATAATTGTTCAAATCGCGCGATGAGTATATTTTTTGGAAAAATATTTTTGAGAAAATAGATTTGAAAATACTTCAAATGCGCGACAGCTTTCTCAAAAAATTGTGCGATTCAAAAAACTTGGATATTTGAAAATTATTAAGCAAAAGAATTATGTTAATATAATAGAATTTTTTTTAGAAAATAGAGTTAAGAAAAATAAGAAAAAAATTATCACGAGAGTATATTATCATTGTTCTTAATAATTTTATAATTATGATGATATTTCGCGTTTTTTCGAATCTGTAATTATTACATATTTAAATTAATAATTTAAAACAATTTTGCGCAGAAATATCGTTTTCCTTCTCTTAAAAGCATGTGTCGTAGAAACAAAATAGCAAAAATTAGGATACGCGGTTCGAATATGACGGATAGCATTATAAACGTTTGCCCGACGCGAAATTACAAGGACCTTAAGATGATTAAGGGGTGAAATCCTGTCGCGCTATCCTAGCGTAAGGAGGACATCGTGTACCATACAGC